AAAGGTTTACAATGCAAGTGCTAAAGGTAAACTCAGTAATGAACCATTATTATAATTATCTGGGTTTTGAAACATTCAGACCTATAAAGAGACCTACCTCAAAATAGTAGAAAAGGCAGGAATATTGAAGGAGAACGTGTTTCTTTTACTGAAATTGGAAGGAACTAAATTCAGCAATAAGGCAGTTACTGTTTGCAGTTGGATGTAGATAAAACAAAAGGACATATTTGGGACATATATGTTTTCAGAAGCACTAAAGGAGTTCAGGGAAGAGCCTCACAAGGGCACAGGTGCAGTTTTTTATTCAAAGTCCAATAGTGCAGTACTCATTAAATGAGGGGAAAATCCTTTCATGATTGTTCTATGGGATGCGTGACACCCTGTGCACCTTTAAGAACACCATGGAGCACCCCCCCCCACCATCTTCCCTATTTCTGATGTCCCTAACTGTGATTTAAAGAGCACCTCTGGAGTATCTGCTTCGAAACTGGCAACAAGATAAGCCAAGGCAACACAGAGATTAATGAGATTCACTCTGAGCCCAGGAGGAAATTAGTCTGGGAGCAGGAAGAACACTAATGCATTAGTACATAACAGGAAAAGCCATGAGCAACAGAAGTTTGAAATGGCAAAGTATGATGGGAAAACAGCAGGCAGAGCAATTAGCTTTGATGGAGGGAGATAGTGGTAGTTCCTCAACTGAATCAGAAGGAGACTTTAAAAAAGAGTAGAAGGTTAGTTTGGTAAGTATAAGAGAATTCAATTTCTGGCATGAGAAAAGGCACAGATTTAGAAAGATGTTGTGTGTTCATACAAAGACAAAATGTGTTGCTAAATAACAAGGTTAAATAACAAGCCCACAGTGAATAGGTGTCAGCAACTAGTTTCCTAAACAAGAAGCAGGTGGGCCACAGATCAAGGTCTTCTGGTCGAGTTTCCCTCCACAGAAAAAGATGAGAATAATCAAAGTAGATTCCTGCACCCACAAAAAATGCCTGAGGATTTCTAAACCTATTTCCCCAGAAAAATTACATTATCTGTTAATTTTGAAAGCTGTGGAGTGGCATTTGGGGTTTCGATGGCAGGGTGCTGAGAAATTCACTCACTGTTAACAGAAACATAAATAGAGAGGACACAGATGATATCACTCTTATCATGGATAATGCTACTTATTTATACATGTATAAAAAACAAGTTCTTTTGCATCCTAAGAATCTGTGAGGGGCCACAAAAGGGAAGACATGCCCATGTTTTCACTTTGTCTACAGTCTAGCTGAGGACTAAGGTACTCATTCATTCAGCCAATATTTTTTTGTGATCACTTACTGTGTATGTACTACAGTCTAGGTGTTGAAGACATAGCAATGAAGAGGACAAGGTCAGTATGTGCATGGAACTTTCATTCTACTAGAATCACCAATGACTTGAAATACCCTTGGTATAATTGGATTGCATCAATTGAAGAGATAAGGTATGAGATTCTAAACATAATGTGCAACAAGATAACCTGGAGGTTTGGGGGTTATTTTTAGCAGAGCATAGGCCCCAATTATTAAGCATCTTGTGCTTTTTTAAAAGTCTGCTGGAGAACCTTGATACACTCTCAGGTGGAAGAAACAGTAGCATAATAGATCAGTGCTCTTCAAAGCATCTATGGTGAAAATCCAGGTTTTCCTTCATGTTTTTCTTTGGTTTTAGACCAATGCTTTTATAAAATAATACAAAATAATACAAAATAAAATAATGTTTGGATGTTCCAGTAATATCAAATAATTATAAAATGTATAATTTTTTACACTAAGTTCCTGTAGTACTCCATGACAGTGAACAGGCATCAGTTTGCATATAGCACCAGTCTAAATTATAAGTGGTTTTGGAGTTCATAAAGGAACTCCACTGATGTTTGATAACCCAGAAGAATAGCAAAGATGACACAGAAGGGACAGAAGTTTCTTTAGAAAGGATAGCATTCACAAAGACTCAGAACACCCTCCTTCTCAGAGAAGCTGCCATCAAATATGCAATAAATGCTTGTTTGTGGTATTATCTTAGGAATTATAGAAATTAAACAATGAATCTTCACTTTTGTGACACTAGTTATCTAAATCAACCAAACAACTGAGCATAGTTCATGTTGATACAAATAATCTTTCATATTATGTGTATAAAAAGAAAATACATACTTTATACATTCCCATGATGCGCACACATGCTGTGTGTTCACTCATGTATCTTCTCCACTGTGTTGTGTATGGGGCTAATTATTTTTGACTATATACAGTCAAACCAACATTCCACTCTCATTCACAGTGTTCTGCGTGGGATATAGTAAAGGTAATTTAGAGTTGATTTATATTAATTAACTAATTAATTTCTTAAGTTCAGTGATGTGAGGCTTTCCTAAAGGACTGTTCTCCTCAAAAATGCCTAAGTCATTTGGAGTTATGTAAACATCTCAATGGCACATGTAATAAAGCAATACATCAGTGATGTAACTTATCTGTCTGCTCAGAAAGCATTTTGAATATTCTTTCTGTTTACAATAAGAACTTAAAAGCAATTAAACTGCAGAGGGAACTCATGATAAGAGTCACTGAGAGGTGCGATAAGAGCTTGCTGCTCTCTCTCCCCTATTTCCTCTCACAAACTCTCTTCATTCATCCTAAGATGACTGAACCAATGTGTAAATGCAGATTTATTCATCTTCATTTGTCTTGATAACATCCCCCAAAAGTACCTTGATGGAAGTTTAAATTTTTTACTGATTAAATTCAAACCACATAGGGAATCTAGAAATGTAGGTAACAAAGATTAGTTTAAGTCCTCTAGAATGAAAAATACCTTCTGCAAAACTTTTTGTTTCTTCAGGTTTCCATTTATTCAATTCTGTGTTGAAACACAAAACTTCTTCCATGATAACAGAAAAAATTCCAGGTTTTTGGTAATTCTACTAGAATTTGTATTTGAATTTTCTGATACTAGAATGTAGACTGCAACTTTAATATGTTCCTGTTGTTTTTAGGAAGATATTCATTCCAGAATTTTCCATTGTCTTACTTTTATCTGTTAACAATTTATAATGTAATATTCAAATTAGGTTTTATATTCTTAGACCAACATAACAAACTACAGTGGCAACCTATCTCAATAGTAATTCTTTATTTTTATTTATTTATCCTTTTATTTATTTATTTATTTATTTATTTATTTATTTATTTATTTTTGTGGTACTGGGGACTGAACCCAGGACTGCTCTACCCACTGAACTATATCCCCAGTCCTTTTTATTATTGTTATTATTATTATTATTATTTATAATTTTGAGTGAAGTTCTCATAAGTTGTCAAGGTTGGCCTCTAACCCGTGATCCTGCTACATCAGCCTTCCCAGTGACTGGGATTTCAGGAATATGCCACTATACCCAGCTAAATGACAATACTTTAGAAGCCAATATGGGTTATTTGTGATCAGTAGGCAAGAAATTGGAGGTAGATATTTCTAATAGAAGTGAAGGTGGTTTGGAGAAGTCAACAATATGTTAACACATTGTGAAGACATAGGTTAGTAATAATAAGAGCATCACTGATAGGATAGGAACAGATGGTGGAGACAGGAGCAAACAGATTCAAGAAGTGTGCAAAATTAAGTAAAATTAATGTTCTTCACCTTCCTGCTTCCATCTCAGTGAGAAAAATAGTGGAAAAGTAATTTTTGTCCAAAAGGTTATTTTTAAAACCAAAAGTGTCACTTTAAACTTTATATCTGAAAGATTATTTTAAAAATCTAAAGTGTCAACAAATTTCCGAATGAGGTAAGATGTCCTCACCTGCCTCTTATGTTATGAATCAGTGATTTTTATAAGCATTTTCTCCTATTGAACATTTGCATGTAGAAGTTGAGGAAGCTTCTTGATTTCATTATGATACTGTTTTGTCCTACTCCTGTATTGCTTCATTACTTTAAGAATACTGGAATTTCATTTGTTCTCTTACCATTCTAAGTGTCTTATGGGTTGAGATTCATTTCTGAAAGCAATAAAAAAACATTCAGTTCTTAATGGAAGGACTTGTTGTGAATTGCATTACCAGAAACATTCTTGATGTGCCTGTCCATTAAAATAGAACAGAGTGGTTGAGAAACTCACATTAAATCATAAAAAGAATTTTTGTAAAGTTACCAGTTTAAAGGACTGACATTTTTATTGAGTCATTCAACACGCCTTGAGCAATAAGTACTTCCTTCTAAATCTTGAATAAATAACCCATTAAAAAATAGTAGCAGAAAGGTTTTCAACTAGAAAGAGTAGCCACTGAGTAATACCAAAAAACAATTGGATGCACAAAGAACTTAATATTTTATACTTGCTCATGTAAAATTTATAGAAGAAACAAAAAAGAAATCTCTAACGCTTCATATACATGTCATTTATTGTACGTTTTATTATAGATTAAAAAATGTCAATAGAAGGATCATTCAAATGCAATACCAATTACAAATCACTCTCAATTGGTTCTGAATGGAGCCTTAGATAAGGAATTTTATTTATGCAGAATCCCAGCGAAGCCTCTGAAAAAAAATCCTGAAGCTCCAAATTTCTATAGAAGAAGGATTGAGTAGCCACTAAAATGTTTGGAAGGGGTCATTGAAGCTGAGCTTGCCAAGCACTCTGCATAAGATTAGAAACTCATGACTTGTCCACATCAAAGGCAAGGGATTGAATGATGGAGAGTGGGGAGTGCAGGGTGTAGAGACACTGGCTCTGGAACCTAGAGTTGGAAGAATGGAGGTGATGTTAAAGGGAACTGGAAACAAAGAAGGAAAGGAAAGCAAACATGGTTTCCATACGCTTTCATTTTTGTTCCATACAAACCATGCAG